AAAATGGTCTACGAAACAACTTTTCGTAATTTTCCGAGGTTTCACAAAAAAGGTATAAAAGCGTGAAAATTATTTTGACTTGATGACGACTGTGCCCTCTCTCAGTAAAAGATGGTTTGAATTCTGGCTGAAACTCTTGAGATCTAACTTCACATTATGATAGGTAGTGTTCCACGCCTAAGTGACTTCTCACGCTACAAAAGCCTTTTTGATGGAGAATGCATAACAATAACCTACTAAAAGTTGGCTTAGCGCCATTTCCTGCTGATATAACGAGCAAGAAATACGAGCTAAACATTGAGAGCTTACCTCAAAAATGTGATGTTCTATTTCGGAGGCTTCGGCGAATACCAAACAAGGTTTAGCCGTTGTTTCTACAGAACTCGTTGAGCACTGGGTACCATTCAAGACTACTTCAGACTCCTGCGTTGTAATCGTGCTATGGTTCTTCGGTGGTCGGCCACGTTTCTTCTTCTCTCTTGAGCAGATTTGATCCACAAGCTGAAAGAAAATTCAATATCACTTTGAAAGTGACAACATGCCAATTCTCTCACCGAAAATACGGTATTTCGCACAACTTCATCGTCACTGGGAGTCCGATTGCGTGCGATGAATTCTCGAAGTGTTATATTGCTAGCATCATCATATAATGCGCTCGTAGAAGCCACCTAACAGAAATAGGAATAGATAGATATAAAAATTCAACAATAGTACGATGAGGTAATGAAAATCATGTTATCCAAACCAATCCTATTCTATCTTTGCTTTGTAAAGATCGAATTTGAAACGGGCACAGTTTGACTATACAGTGAGAAAAAAGTGAATACCTGTGAGGATTGTGATTCGGTCTCATAGTCTTCAGGTAATTCGAGTGACATGCCATCGTCACTATGGAAATCGTGAACTTTGGCTTCGTAAGGTTTCTTCGCTGAGCGCGGCAAGTTCTGACGACGCTTTTTGGTCCTATTTACGTATTTCTCCCATGCTGCTAACACATCGTCGTTTCTTGGCCGACCGCGCTTTTTGTGAGCAGATGGATTGCAAACCTTGTCTACCACCTAAACAGTAGTGAAGTTGTAGAGCGCACGAAAACACCTAGCTAAAGTAATTATGATATAGTTGAGCCTGCAAAGGTCCTCTGCAAAAAAGAAAGAGGCACACTGATAGTATTAAAGGACATTTTGAATTGCATGGGAAATTAAACCAGAGTTTGCTCGAAGTAACCGACAAAAAATTCTGCATATCTTTTGCGAGATCCGAGGACTCGGACTACCATGAGATTCTCATTTTATAGATAGTGATGGCAAAGATACAAATACAGGAACTGAAGCCACGCACTATAGAATCTCACTATCATGAGCAAAATAACATACCGTATGAATCGTAGCATTAAGAGCATCATCTATAGCATCCTCATAATAAAGCGGCTCATAATCTTCAGTGGTCACTTCTA